TTAAATAAAAAAATGTCATTATATGAATTAATACAGATAATTTATTAAAGCACATGAAAAAAGTGGCCAGGCTGTGACAACTTACGCGGATAAATAGGCCCAGGAGTAAAAATGTTAAAGAGTAAAGAATCCCTCAATAGTATAGAGCATAAATGTATGTACACCCTAAATTCCAACAGGTAAAGGATTAAACAAATTTCGGTTAGTAAAACTATTCGATAATTTTAAAAAGCGAGTTCTCCTATGAAATCGATTCGACCTTGACATGTTGTAGCTCTGAATATTTCAATAACGGAACAATCGATTCCAGTAGTTTTGTAGACACAGCGTAAATAATATATTTTCTTTCAATTTGTTCAGTCCAAAAATAAATAGATTTACATAGTAATGAATTGAGTTGACATATTTTGGCTGTATTTCGGAAATCACTTGTAGAATTTGACACTGTTTAGAATATCGACAGAAATGCCGAGGACAAGGCTAGACTGTAATAGAATTATTAATAAATCTATTCAGATTATTAATATGTAATGGGACGTATAATATCTATCTGTCGATGGTAAAAATAGAAACAGGTCATACTTGTCTATTATTCAGGTTTATCAATACTTGTGTGCACATACTGAAGGAGTAAAAATACTTATAGAAAGCATTTAGAAACTCACATCTTTCCTCGCATATATCAACCGAAAATATAAATAGAACATATTTTTCGTCTTCTTCTTAATTTCATTGGCTGTTTATTTTTAATTAGTATTTGTTAGCTAGCTAATGTTCATCAATTCTGTTGATATGTTACATTGTTATTTCTATTTTATTCTTTTCGTTTACTTGAATATTTGAAACCGACTTTAGTTTGACTTAAAATTAACTCAAATCTAAGTCAATTTTTTTGACAACTAATTCAAGTCAAAATAAACTGGACCATGGTTACAGGTACTGTATATCTTTTTTCTTGCATTGTCTTTCCACATTTATCATTTTTAATATTTCATCACTCATCCAAGTTTTTTGCCTATTGTTTTGTGTTTTTGAGATTGTCTTGAGTTTGTTTAATTATGGTTTTTAATTCAGACCACAACTTGTTAGAATCATTTGGTTCTTCTGTCTTTCCACTTTCCGTATTTCTATTCTTAAGTGCTCGATTTCTTGATTAACCCATTTGATCCCACGACATTTTTTTTTTTTTCGAGTATACAAGATTTTTTGAATGTCTTTGTTGGATCTGCGTTAAATAGTATTTGACATAAAAAAATTAAATTTTTAACAAAAACTCTCTGTATCTGTATCTGTCGAGTAGGGAGGGCGAGTTAAGTTTCATAGCAGTTAGGCCACAATTGACCCATTGTGCATCCTCCCAGGGAGCTGTCACCCTTAGCTCATTGTCCATCCTGCCATTTCTAGGAAGGTGGACAAGTCACCAGGAGACATCTCACTTATGTGGGCAGGTGTGGGCAAGGACTCACCGAACGCGTACTCTCGTATTAACGATAACTCTGGGCATTCACATAGGACATGCTCTACAGTTTCGTCTTCTCGTTCACACCTTCTACATAGAGGTGTGCCTACTAGCCCCAGTGTGTGGAGGTGTTTGCTTAGTTAACAATGACCAGTTAAAAAAACCAACTGCCAAACGTAGATTTTTCCTGGTCATTCCCAAGTACTTCTTTGATGTTGACTCTTGAGGCTTAGTGTTACCCTGGCAAGTTTACATCCTTTCCCTTCTTCACATCTTTTTACGGTTTGCGTATGGGAGTGACGTTTGACAATTTCCGCGATTGTTGTAGTTGACCAACCAAAAAGATCCCCAGGTCCTAAGAGTCTTAGGTCTGCCGCCTTCCTAGATAATTGGTCAGCAATGCGGTTGCCTTTATTCCTATTTTGTCCTTTAACCCACTTCAAGATGATGGTATTACCATCCGAAGCTTGAGTTAGTGACTCGTGACACTCCATTACTAAACCTGATGTGACACGTGATCTATTCAAGGTTAGTAGCGCTTGTCTGCTATCTGTGCAGATCATTATAGTTTTTCCTGCTATACCTTTTTGGGTTATCTCTTTTGCGGCTATGGAGATACCAGTCAGTTCTGTCTGAACTACACTGGCATTTTTGCCCATACCCCACTTTATTCTTAGATTCAGTGATCTGGAGCATATCCCGCATCCTGAGCCTTCTTTCATTTTGGAGCCATCGGTGTATATGCAGTAGGCATTTGCCACGTTTGTCTCCATATACTGTCTTGTTTCAATTTTGTAGGGTTTGTTAAAGACGAACATGTCTAATATATATTAATTTATTGGGCTTCCAACCCTGTATATATAGCAAAAACAAAATTATATGTAAATATAAAATTTTTTGAAATTTAATTATAAAATTGTTTACATTCTTCTCAATTAAAAAGAGCGAAAATATGCCGGTTCAAATTAAAAAAAACATGGACCATTAATATTATGTTATTGTGTTAATTTATCTGGATTATTGATCATTTTCCAACAAAAAATTATTAACGTGCCTAAAGGACTGTTATGCTTATTTTACGAATGGAAAAACATTTTTTTTCGTCTGGTTAATGGCGAGTTTCGTACAAGGCCAGGAAATTAAATGGCTCTTATCAATATACGGCTATATTTATGGTAGAAGCGGGCTGAAGCTTTGTAGCACGTCCGTACAATTGAATTTAACGTACAACGTGTCTATATTAATGTTTTTACAGTAAAAGGTACTTTTATTTGCAAAAGAGCTATATATACACTTTTAAGATGATACCATATAATCTAATTTACAACCAAGAGATGTGGATCTGAATAGAACAGAATATTATATGCACGGAAAGTGCATAGAATAATATAAAAGCTTAAAATACACCGTTTATTTTATTATGATCTTACCTAATATTACATCATGCGGGCTATTATAGTTATTTATGTACCAATAGCATTAAGTAGGTGTTAGAATAGAATAGAATAGAATATTCTTTATTAATCCAATGAGATCACATTGTGATATAGGACAAGTCATCTAGTTATACATAAAACATAATCAACAAAATATAGATTATTATTGTTCTGAAGCTATTTTCTTGTGGCATTGTAAATTAATTACTATTTAACTGGGAATAAGCCACAATTAATGATAAAAATACGTTTATTGACGTTTCAATTTCCACTTCGGAAATCGTTCTCAAAATACAGATAGTAAATTAAACAAATTTTGTTTATTATTACATAGTGAAAAATTCTTCTAATAATTTAATTTTATCTGGTTCATTTATATTGACAATTCAGACATACATTATGCATTTTAAAGTAGACGACTTTAAAATGATATTGCCAATATTGTTGAGTTGCGCTCCTGGGACGACTTTACTTATAAGATAGTTCATTAGATTACATGAAATCAACTGATGACAGTAAAATTCTCCTGTTAGTGATTCCATAGTAAATTATGAGGGAAAAACCAGGAAAAAAAACCTCATAATACTATCCCGACATTGTAAGTATTTGTTCGTGAATTTAGTTTACCTTCAACAAACATCAAAATTCTGATTTTATATGTTACGTTATTTAAAAAACATGAATGATTTATCCTCTATATGTTACTGACTTACTAATACTGGTATTTTCTTATTAATAACTTCCTCTTTCAATATTGGTAACCAGATCCTACTACATTCTGCCGAGGAATTTGCGACACAATTGGCCTCATTTAGCATAATTAGAGCCGATTATTTGATTTTTCTTTTTTTACCATCCGTTTCTTTTAGGACTACATTTGAATTATTCCATTGAACCCTATGTTCATTATCCCATGCGTGTTTACATATAGATCTCAAATAAAGAAGGAATAAAACGAGCAAAATAACAATACCATGCCTATAAGGATTATGAGAAAAACGATAGGAAATAAATTTAACATTTCAACAACATTAACAACAACAAACACATTGAGATTTATTTATTTATTTTATTTAACAAGGAATAAGGAATAACAAGGAACGTAGAATTGTATTTATAAAATACCTTGTGAATGAGATCATTTAGGTGACACATCAGGACCATTAAATGTTCTCAAAGATTCAAAGATCTCAAAGATAAACCACTCATGGAAAAATGAGCATAGGACTTGAAAATGGAACGATTTGAGTCGCAAATTTCTCGGCAAAATGCAGTAGGATCTGGATACCTACATTAAAAGGGGACGTCAATAAAAGGAATATACTATTATTAGTCCACAACACTGGACATGAACTCCCTGATGACTATTTTAAAATTTTAGAATCATTCCCCATCAAATATCGCAGTATAACTACTGCACGCCAAAAACGCTGATTAAGAGCCGTTCCTTTTATATGGCTGGTGACCCCTGAAGTACCTGGTCTGACATGTTTGGCAAAGTTCTCCCATATTCCTCTTGTGCGCTTCTTACAATCGTCCACACAGACACGCCACCTTCTGAACTCCTCCCTGCTTCTTAGTAGTCCACCACTTCTTCACCAATACAACAAACAATTCGTTTACCACACTACCATTACTCCGAAAAAAAAGGAATATTCCTTCCTTAAAGAGGCACTAAGCCTAAACAAGGTTAAAACTCCGGAACAACAACAACATTAGTAAGTTAGTAACATTTCGAGAGGATACATCATTTATGTTTTTAAATGTACATATAAAATCTGAGTGGAGGTAGTCCATATTATGAGGTTTTTTTCCTAGTTTTCCTCATGATTTACTGTGAAATCACAAACAGCAGAATTTTACTGTTAACATTGCATGTGGTTGTCTTTTTAAAGACGAATCACATGGTATGATTTTTCTAACAGATATTCTTAAGTTGATTTCATGTAATCGAATGAACTATCTTACAATAATTTCGTTCCAGGAATGCAACTCAGCAATTTTGGCTATATCATTTTAAAGTCGCCCACTTTAAAATGTGTAATATATATCTGAATTATCAATATGAATATGTCAGATAAAATTAAATTATTAGAATTTTTCACCAAATATCAAAAAAATTGTCACCAAATATCACTTTATATACCGTTTGTACAAAAAATAATTAGTAAATATTTTACGTTTCAGAACTTAGAGAACACCATCTCCAATCCAATGGCGACTACTTAGTGGCATGAAATCGTTATTTTTTTCAATATTTATTATACTAACAGCAGTTGTTGGCCTTTTAATAAATGGATATGTGTTGATGGTAATAATTTTGACGAAACAGGTAAGTTGATTAAGTTAAACATGAGAATTGAACATTTTAAATAGGACAGCTTTTAAAATTTTGGTGAATTCGCCAGGTCAAAGAATGTACTCCCAATTTTAAAAATTGAGTTTTTACGGAAAGAAATTCAGATTTGATATTGCTTGATATAAAATATTGCTTTAAAATGTAAAAAAATATTATTTTAAACAACTAGTATTTTTTATTTTAAAATATGACATAAACATATTATACATTTAAAAATAATTTTTAGGTTAAATCTGCCAACCAAATTCTCCTTCTTCACTTAGGCACTATAGAAGTATGCATAGGAGTACTATTCTTAGTATTTTTTATACCTGGAGCGAATGATAAGGAGTGGCCGTCAGCTGGAGCACCGTGCATAGTCCATGGTTTTTTCTTTACCTTACTACAACCTTTAGCCCTTTGGACGATCTGCGGCTTAAATTGTGACAGATTCTACATCATATCTGTTCCGCTACATTATAATAGAATAATTACTTCTAAAAAGGTAAATTTTAGAAGATAGAGCATGATATAAATATTGATTATGTTTTTTTTATATAAATTATTGTGCTGTATAGCATAGGAATTCCTTCTCTTGGGTGGTTTTTTCGCACAGAAAAATTCAAAGCAAATTTAAATTATAATCTTTTTTGTGAATAATTTATATAATTGTTTTATTTTTTAAAAACATAATTAAAAATGAAATAAAGAACTTTGAAACACGTTTAAGTTATTTTTTTTTTATTTGTTACAAGATGTGTTAACTTAACAAACTAACACTTTTAAAATTGATAACTCCCGTCAAGAGACTGGCTGAATGGCGAAAGTCTATGCCACAAAAAAAACTCCCATCAAATCATTAATGTTTGTGGTAACTCAGTGACTAAATGTATAATCAGTAATTAATGTGGCTTAAATTGTATTTTAAATTGAATTATTTGCAAATAATAATATTATTAAATTCATGTATAGTGTGTTTAAAAAAAAACAGACTGGTCCAATTTACTACAAAATGAATAAATTGGCAGATATAATTAATTAATAAGGAGAACTTTAATATTTTCATGTTCATCTAGCCAAAAATCTAATATTAGTAGTAATAATTGTTAAAACATAAACGAAACGCACCAGTTGGGTATACAGTTAAAACTAACTTTACATTGTACCAATCTTAACTTCCTGTAAATGACATATGGCGCTAAAATTTAAAATTTATTACTTCTTCTCATGGCGCCGTCTCCTTTCAAAGGTTGGCTATCCAAATGGCAATTGTAGTTGATATCTTTCGCCTCTCAGGACATGACACAAGTATTACATTATCCTCTCTTTGATTAGTCTTAGTAATTCTTTTTGTTTACACATGCAAAGAAATAGCTCAACATTAGTAACTCTTTGTACCCATCGAATTCTTAACATTTGTCTGTGTATATACATGTCAAAGACATCTATTCTTTTTTCTATTTCAGCGTCCATTGTGTAACTTTCACTGCTATACAGTAAGACAGAAAAAACGTAACATCTGATCATTAGGATAAGGTCTAATCTTGTAAAAATGTTTTCATGCCCATGAATGTTTTCCTTGCTTGTTTAATTCTGAATAGGATTTCTTTTTTTGGAATACACTGACTATTGATATTTACTCCCAAATATTTTATGACATTTACCTGTTCTATTATTTGACCCTTGGCATACACATGAATGTTTATTGGTGTCTTTGAAAATACTAAAATTTTAGTTTTGATCTGATGTTGTCTATGCTGATTCCGTTAATCTTAATTCCGCTTTGGACCTCGTCTAATGCTTCTCTGAATAAAGACTCCGAATACAAATTAAACAGTAGCGGTGATAAGACGCAACCCTGTTTTACTTCTCGAAGGATTTTTATAGCTTCGGATGTTGTGTGCTCTATTTCAATTTTGGTGCCAGTATAGTTGTGAGATAATTCGTAAGTCTTGTTCGTCAACTCCAGTTGTTCTCAGAATTTCGATTATCTTTTGATGGTTAACGCAGTCAAATGCTTTTCGATAGTCAATAAAACATGCATATACATCTACATTCATGTTTTTGCATCGTTACATTAACACATTTAAAGCAAAAAGAGCCTCTCGTGTTCCCAATCCGTTTCGAAATCCGAATTGAGTGTCACTGATCTGGAATTCGCACTTCTTGTAAACTCGTGTATGGATAATTTTGAGAAAAGTTTTAAGGACATGAGACATCAAGCTTAATATTCGATAATCATCGTATTGTGAGAAATTTGATGTTTTTGGTAATGCTACGAATGTTGATTTTAACCAGTCCAGTTTTCTTTCGCCTCTCTGCACTTTTTTCTAATGATTTTACTGATTTGCTTGTATTCTAGTGGGCTTGTTTTATGTTTTCATCTTTTGCGTTATCCGTTCTTGTTTTTTGTTGTGTTTTGTAAACCCGATGTCTTCTTCTTGTATCTTTGTTATTTTTGTTTTTTGAGCAGTATAGGTTACTTCAATGTCTGTCTGTATCAAGTTTTCGATCGTTTTTATTTCTTCCTTAAGCTTGATACTTATTTCTTTTTCCTATTCAGGGTTCTTCACTGTTTTCTTTTTGACTTTGAGAAATCTTTTTAATCTAAAATCCATTATAAATGAATTGTGGTCGCTATGTATATCAGCTCCAAAGTTTGTTTAGTTGATATTATGTTAACACCCACACTTATCAATAAAACGAAATTTACAGGTTACCTATATTTAACAGTTTCAATTATATTTGCAGTTTTTCAGCTAAAAGCTAGAACTAGACCTTTAGTCAACACATCAGCAAGCATAACATCAGTAGGCAAATATTCTCTTTGATTAAAACTCCTAGCCACTAGTCTTGTACGATATATAACTTTATTTTCGTTATTACACTATAACTTAAACACCAACTTACTATCAATTACACTACCATTTTACAATTACACGGAATTACACGGAAAGATTGGATTTCATCCATCATGGCTTCTCTCCATTTTACTCCGTCAGGACGTTGTAATACCTCCGAGACTGGTAACGGAACATCATCTATGTCACTTGTCTCCGCACACATATATGTTACATATTCGCTAAATTATTTTGTTTTTATTACTCGTTCTGACTTTCTGTATACTTTTTGTAATGTTTCTCAGGTGAATTGTGCACTTAAAAGTCTTTATTAGTTAAATTATTTTGCTCATAGTAGCTCGATTCTTTGTTACTAAAATTATTACCATCATCTTTAGTCTCAGTTATGGTTGCTTTGTTTTTCCACTAAATCTAGAGTTTCTTTTGCCTTTTGCTTATTTTATATGTATATATAACGATGGATCAAGCAAAAGAACTAGCTTGCCATTAGCTTTTTCTTGTTTTTCTATTTTGGTTTCAGTTACGTCTTAGCACGTGGAAGAACCTTCTAGAACAAGATAATTATGCACTGTGAAAGCCCAGTCATCGTGATTGTCGCGGCCTAACAACTTTGGCACCGTAGACATAAAATTCACTGCCATTTTCAACCTAAACGCTCACTAGTATAAAAAGTTTATCTGTTTATAGTCGGCTTCAGTAAATACATCGCAACTATTAAGAAAAAATACAGCTTTTCCTAAAGCCATTGGTAATTATTGTTGGAATCATGGTCTTTTAATGTGCTTTAATTACACAACCAGCAATTTTATATATTAAGATAACTTTCTTGGATTTTGCTTTTCCCAAGAATTTACGGCGGCAGCAAAATATGTTTTGAATGCAGCATAACCTGAAACATCAAATGGTTGCACTTTTCCACTGCAATGAGTTAAAACTGTGGCTATTGTTATAGTATTTTCTTTTGCCAGATTTATGACTTCAATGCATATATAGCTGTGATGGTTATCCATTACAAACAACGTTGAGTTTTTATTTGAAGACAATATATGTTTGATAATAATACTTAATGACCTGATGGAAAATATGAGCAGTCATCCAACTACTTTTAGTTGCCAATCCTAAAGATTTTGTGGGCCATTTATTAAAATATTATCTTTGAGCTTTACACGGGGGAAAACGAAAGTCAGTGGTATTATATTTCCAGATGCGCTTATATAACAACATATTGTCACCAATGTACCTTTTGCTCCAACCGCTACAGTGGATACCCCCTAGATTTTTGCGATTACTCTGACAAATTTATTTACTACTGTAAAGGTGACAGTTTCATCTAAATGCCATATTATTGAACCATCTGTATTATCGCACAAAGTATTTTCGGTATGACGATTAAATGATGTGCAGTGAGGAAGAGAACACTTTTCAGGCTGTCTTCTGGACAATGTTGTATTTCCTAATAAACTTACTAGCTACTCCAAACTAGCAGCTGATTTAGCATGCCAGCTTGGAGGTGTTTTTATCACGGAAATTTCGTAAGCCAACTCGCGACTATCACGTGTTGATTATCCGTAGCACATTTTGAAACAGATCAATAAATACTCTGATAAAAGTTTTTAAAGCCACAATTCGTTCTGAATCGGATATACGACCCATTGTGACTTTAAAAGCAACAATACTAATTGATTGAAAAGTCAAAGTTGTTACGTTAATTATTTTTGTTAAAAAATAATTATTATTTCTAAGGACTTCCAAAGGCAAAGAATATATATCACATCACAATAATATCCATGACATCAATAGTATAAATTAACCGTCCTCTGTTCTCAGTAGAAATAATGCATTGGTTAGAGATCAGTATAGTAGTATTGTTCTGAAGCTATTTTCTTGTGGCATTGTAAATTAATTACTATTAAACTGGGAATAAGCCACAATTAAAGATAAAAATACGTTTATTGACGTTTCAATTTCCACTTCGGAAATCGTTTTCAAAATACAAACAGTAAATTAAACAAATTTTGTTTTTTGTTACATAGTGAAAAATTCTTCTAATAATTTAATTTTATCTGACTCATTTATATTGACAATTCAGACATACATTATCCATTTTAAAGTAGACGACTTTAAAATTATATTGCCAATATTGTTGAGTTGCGCTCCTGGGACGACTTTACTTATAAGATAGTTCATTCGATTACATGAAATCAACTTTAACTTGAGAATATCCGTCAGAAAAAAATCATAGCATGTAATTCGTCTTTAAAAAGACAAACACATGACATGATGACAGTAAAATTCTCCTGTTAGCGATTCCATAGTAAATTATGAGGGAAAACCAGGAAAAAAACCTCATAATACTATCCCGACATTGTAAGTATTTGTTCGTGAATTTAGTTTACCTTCAACAAACATCAAAATTCTGATTTTATGTGTTATGTTATTTAAAAAACATTAATGATGTATCCTCTATATGTTACTGACTTACTAATACTGGTATTTTCTTATTAATAACTTCCTCTTTCAATATTGGTAACCAGATCCTACTACATTCTATAGAAAATACCAGTATTAGTAAGTCAGTAGAGGATACATCATTTATGTTTTTTAAATAACGTAACATATAAAATCAGAATTTTGATGTTTGTTGAAGGTAAACTATATTCACGAACAAATACTTACAATGTCGGGATAGTATTATGAGGTTTTTTTCCTGGTTTTCCCTCATAATTTACTATGGAATCACTAACAAGAGAATTTTACTGTCATCAT